GGAAAATCCGCATTTCGGTATTAGGCACGATTTGCCATGAAATCGCGTGTCCGATAACCGCGGACCACGATATACCATCCCGAGTCCCATGTTCCACACGTGTTTCGTCATATACCTATGTACGTAACATAGTATGTACATACCACACACCTACACCTACACACAAACGCGCGCACACACACATACACGTACGCACGCACAAACGCGCGCGCGTTTTTTACCGAGACCGAGTCGCGCGCAGCCTAGCGCCATCGAGTTTCTTCGTATCGCGGACCATTTTCAGGCTGGTTTCTTGATTAGAAGGGCGAGTGAATCGGAGCGGGTGAATCGATACGAGGTCGTGTGGACGTCGATATCTTTTCGCGAAATCGTTATCGGAGATAAGGGCGGCAATTGCCCGACGAACGAGAAAGTACACTGGGGATGGATCGTTGCCGAGTCAGGTATTTGCGATCTGCTTCTACTTCGTCAAAGTTTGTCGTCGTCGAGTTAATCTTGATAGGTAGACGATATAATGTTCGATGTCGAGTTATTTCCAACGTTTCAAACAGATTTTAATGCAGCCATTGAAAATATTTTATTCGACTACCGTAGACCATCGTTAGATTATTATTGATTCACCGAACTCGTGTAAATATGTACCTACCCCGGCCTTACTTCGTGCTTCCCTCTCACTCGTGGCACGAGTCATCCGCAGCAATCCCCCAGTGCGAAACAGCGTAAATCCAGCTTTACATCCTCCCGTGCTCAGACTCGTCGTTCTTAATAACTCCGTTACTGTTTCAACTTGATGTTCAGTTACCTTTGCAGAATTTCTTGCTCGACTTCCGCATCTCGCAATCACACGATGCGTCGCTAATCCGAAATTCGTTAGTTCGAACAGGCGCTTTCGTTAACGAATCTGTAGATAATGAATTTTTAGCCGCCTAACAATAAGGCAATTGTTAGCGCCGTTCGATATTCTTCTATTCCGCTTTGTCAGGTCCAATTTAGATGGTTTTGCGCGCGAGACACACGTTCAACATTGCTTTAAATATTCTAGTACCAGATCGGAATATGTTTTCAAGCTGGTGAAGAAAGAGAGAAAGAGAGAGGGAGACTAACGATAAGCCTATTCTTATTTGTCGCTGCGACAATACTTGTTTCACCGCGAAAGAGTAAAACTGACGCTTGTCGGATTATTTTCGTTTTTGGAAATCTGTATCGAACGTTACGCTGGCTCTCTATCCTGGATACACTTGCCAATGGTAATGTGGGGCATTAATCTAAGATTAATTTCGAAATTGACATGTTGTTTCATACTCGTTGTTTCGTACGGCTAGCTAATAATAACGATGGTTGTTAATAACAACATCGTTATATTTTTCCCTATTTCATTCACGTTCAGTGAGCTGGTGAATCGAGCGAGAAAAGAGATAATAGTTTTAGTCAGTAATTCTTAGTACGATACCCGATAACAGAATCTATAATTTGGCGAATTGAAACGTGCGCCTAATAATAACGTGCGAGAATCAACTAACGTGTAATGTACAACGCATTTTATCCTCTTGTACGTATGTATATCTGCTTTCATGCAAGCCTGTAACATCTTAAACCTCTAATTATTGATAACGTACTATCAATAATTATTCATTAACGGAACACTTACAACAGGCACTTGTTTTGAAGAAGATAGGAGAAGAAACCGTTGGTCATTTTCTCCATATCGTTGTGTATTTCACGTTAACTTATTCACTAAGACGCTCAAAAGGCATTCCAGGCTTGCAAAACTTGCTCAATGTCCGAATATTCTCCTCTCGATGTGTTATTTAAAGGCGATCGTTAGGCGAATCTCAACCCCTTTGGTTTGGCCTTTCATCCATCGGCATGCTAAAAATTCACTCGTCAGCCGTTTTCAGAAACACCGATGCGTCTCTCGTCCAGCGATCGTACAGTTGTTAATCCAGGCTATCGAAGCTGTCCAATCTCGAGTTGTACACCATTCGGGATCCACCGGTATTCGAAAGACGATCGGTCGCGATTAGAATGACGAACGGGTAGTATAGCAGAGTAAAGCAGAGTAAAGCAGAGTATTTCGCTTTGATTCACGTCTGTACGACGACGATGACCGCTCTCAAACCCTCTCGCACGTGTTCACGTTTTCCATCAACCCAAAGCCCTTCTCCACTTGCGCGTATTCGAGGTGGTGCGGTACGGCGCAGTCAGAGGCTTTCACGCTGATGAATGGCTGGCAGTGACGCGATTAAAGGGACATGCGTGGAAAGCTATCGCGGTCGTTGCATTCTCGAGCACGTTGCACGTTCGCGATAACGATGAAAAGATGATCTGACCGTTGTGCTCTCTGTGTTACCTCGCGACAACAACAAGATCCGCACCATGTGTACCAGCAACGTGATGTTTACTTGACGAGGGGCTGCTTGCTCTGTGCGTGTGCGTTACCATGCGAGTTATTAACTTCACGCGAGAATCCAACGATTGCGTTCGCCGATTATCTTCTTGTTATCAACACGATACGCACACACTCACACCCACATACATCCACATGCAGCCACACAAGAGCGATCTTGTTTTTGGGATATAATAGGCGTGCAAGCGAATAATCCAAAGTTTATTTGAAAGGACAATACTGTCAGGCAAGCGACGAATATCATCGCGAAAAATACCGCGTTTTTACACAAGATCCAATGGTCAAGTTATTCTTGTGTCTCGTCCGCTAATTAAAAGTGGGTATCGAATGAGGCGTATTGCATCGATCCGAACAGCTAGCAATCCGAAGGAGTAATGTCCAGCGAGTAAACTGGTTGCTGCAATACGTACCAAACAACGCTCGTTATGATGTAACGTTACGACGATGCTCGTTAACGATCGTAAAAGCAGCGTGTGGCTTGGCATTGCCATGCAGCAGCAATTTCAAGGAACGTTCTCCTTTGTCGTTTGTCAGTGTCCTGACGATCGAAACTCGCATAGATGGCAACGACGAATACCTTGGTCGAACAAATTTGTCTTTTCTCAAATAAACTGTTGAAGGCTCTGTCGTACATGCGATTATTTACGAAGCGCGGGTGCGGTGGTTGCAGCAGCCTCGAGTATAGACGCGCTTCTTTAGTATAGACAGCATACAGGATCGAGCCTGTTCCGTGGATCCAGTCAGTCACGGCAATTTCGATCCCGTCCTCCGTTCTCCGTGTTTTCTATTATCTCTGTCGGCCATCCGAATCCTGCCTTTAGCGCAAATCACGCCTGATTGAGGTTTCAATCGGAATTCGTGAATAGAACTTGATTTACCGGCGTACATACACACGTACATACGCGATCAGAGATGCAGAGATTGCCTCGACCAGTCGCTTGCTTGCATTTCCCCCTATCGCGAAACGCAAACCACCAAAGATGACTGGTTTAACCAACCCCTTCTGTCCCCATGCGCACTTGTCCAGGCAAACAACCTGGTAATGATTCGAGCATGAAGTTATTAATCGAAGAGAAGCGTTGCGGACAGCGTTCGATAGACCGATCTTTGCGGTGGATAATTTCGGGGTGTTTTGTGCAACGTGCAACGTTGAACGTTGCTATGACATGTGTATTTACATTTTTGTTAATAGATTAGATTCGACAATACTTTCCGAGGTAATAGCAGTGATTTCGTTAAATACCTAAAGGAAACTTCAAAGTACGCGTTACACACACTTCGCAGAATACAGCGCATTACTTATTTGGTTCTCCGCGTGCCGTAAATATATAATCCTATCAACGAGACCAACGGAGATTGCTCAGATTTGCTGCTTTAAAGTTAGCTCTTGGAGCGTCGTATCTTGACAATGCCCATCTACGCTCGAGAACCGCACCTCTCTAGCAGACTTAAACAAGGTTATTTTTATTTCGTTTTCATTTTAAATTATTAATAGTATTACAAGAGCATATGCATAAATCAATCCAGCATCTCATTTCGACGATCCATTAAATAGAATTATTAAACTAGCAAACTGATACGCTGAAAAGTACGTCGACTTTTTCTTTGGACGCTCGTCCACTTCTAAAGCGAAGCTCTACAATACCCTTCTATCGTTATTTATAACATAACATATTTCTTAACAACTTTATTATATACTTATTATTGGGCTCGGTTCGTACAGCAACAACAGCAGCAACAACAACAATAACAACAACAACAACAACAACAACAACAACAACAACAACGACAACAATTTGCTAACCAATAGTATTACCGAATTAACAAGTATAGGTAGATATATTTCTGTAACATCAATTGCAGATGCAATAATATAACTATCTATATATACCTCTACTTAGTTATAATCATACCACCGAACCATATAATAGCAGACTAGTAGTTAGCAAATCAAACTTATTCAAACAATCTTCGTAAAAATGAAAAAAAGATCACTTCAAATGAATCGATTCGAAAGCCCTTCTGCCTGTACATTCGAATCTTCTCGACAAACGAACCGATCAATCGAGCCCCGGCCGTCGCGTCGCTTTGATTTTAAACGTTTGGTCGCGTTTGTTTACTATTCCCGATATATTTATCCGTTTCGTTTGCACGGCGAATTCACCGATGGAATTTACGTACCAGTACGTCTGCTATTCTGGCGCGAAATTTTCCAGCATAAAATTTTAACTCGACTCGATCGGTTGTAATCGTTGCGACGTCAGTCCATTAAACGCGTTTTTCACCAGTTTAAGCGGATATCACGTACTTTTACCTTTTGCACCCTTTACGATACAAGTTACATCGATCGATCGTTTGCAACGTACGTTCGCCTGTGGCAATCTGTTTCGATATCTTTAAAGTGAAATAATGGTTTTAAACTGGCTACTATGTGACGAAAAAATAGAACATTGTACGGAAATAAGTTTCGTTGAACGCACGGAAATTATTTTTGCAACCTACGCAAGTCTGAAACGAAAAGATCAGAAAACGCATAATCTCCTTCTGTGTCGCGATAAACGATATTCAATTTTCTGTTTATTGTCTGTTACAGAAGTCGAGGAACGCTCCAGCGGGAAGGCGCGTGGTGGTAAACTAGCGCGTCGTGCGCGCTCCTTCAAGGAGGACTTCCTGGAGAAGCTCTCCCACATGCGTTCTCCTGGTAGCGGAAGCGGAGGTGGAGGCAGTGGAGCGGCTACGAGGGCCGCCTCGCCCTCCTCGCCGCGAACACCGCGTGATAAAAGCGCGCCTGGTTGCACCGATGGCGCGACCACCCTCGACAAGAATCCCCTCCGCGACCTGCATATCCACGTGCGACAGGTGCAACTGGCACTGCTTCACTTCCGAGACGTCGTGTCAAAGAAAAAGCTCGAGATGCTGCCCGGCAACGGCACCATCGTCCTCGATACTGTTACCACCATACACACTGTGCTGAAGTCCTATCTCCTCTACGAGAACAGGTAAGCGAATTCGATCGTGATCAAAGTATCGATTTTGACCGAAATTTGATATTGACCGATATTGACCGAAATGAATGAAAAACGAAAGAGCTTGTAGATTAATCGAGTGACTTGGTAGAAAAAAGATATATTTCCTGGCTGAAACTTTGAACCGACTACTTTCATCTATTCGATATCGAGGATCGCTGGTGCGCGTGAAAATATATGCCAGATATTTATTTTATAATTTAACGTTAAGCTAAACGAGTAACGCGCAACACTGCCAGGGACGTCGAAATGTTCGAACAATTTCTGAAAATTTTATATCTTACTTTTAATTCTAAACTAAATTTGGTCATTTTCTTCGTTACTTGCTATATGGAAAAAGTTACGTAACTCATGGAATTATATTTTACGTTTGTAACATTCGAAGTAAGTGTTTCGTCTAGATAAAATTCTACATTTTTATATAAAGTGCTTGCCTGAACTAATTGTTCGAGGTGACGCAAATTTATTCCGTGTAAAAGTCAAATATATATAGTAACAAACATTGAAAAAGTATTAAAAGTTGATAAGCACCGTATCAATTATCGTATAATTACTAGTGGGAGCTAGGTATTTTCAGATATATTGGAACAAAATATGTATGTATATTGCAGCTTTATTTTTATTTTTATTTTTATTTCTCTCCAACTAATAAGTTTAGGTAAAATATTAAGATTAGAGATATTTTCTAGAGTCTCTAATGTAATATATGCTTGTAATTTCAAACTTTATTATCATCTATTGGAAATGCAAAGAGAGATGAAATTGTGGATGCTACCGAATGTCATAACTTTACATACGATATCGTTTGTAATCGCGACCTTCGTATTTTCTTGACGAAGCTCTACTCTGGGATCAGCGACGAACCAAGTGTATCAAGCTCTAGCACAATTATTAAAACTCTGTGACGACGTGTTGCTGCACGGTGACCAGTCCTCTGCGCTGGATACCGAGAACGTTACACACATCATAGGATTAGTGGAAGAAGCTGTGAAAAACTTGGTTGCCCTGGCGAACGAGAAGATTGCCAATAGACAGAAACCTGTCGTCGCTACAGCTAGTAATAGGTAATCTTTCTACATGTTCTTTGGTTGAAGCACTGATTTTCCATAAATTTACATTCTTCCGTACTGGTAAACAAAATTAGTTGTTCGATTTTATTAGTATAATTGACCAAAAGTTCGATGAAATCGCGTTTTCAGAACGTCGTCTTATGGATCGGAAATGACGCCGCAAAGAAATTCTTTGCCTGATATTCCGTTAACGCCAAGGGAAAGGCAGATTTTAGAGCAAACAGCTGCGACTACTAGTTTGGTCCGTAGTTCGCATAGTTCAGAGTCGATTTTAAGGGATTCTAGTCCACCCCCAAAACCGCCACTTCCCGAGAGGTAGTTTCTTCCTATGCTTTTTATAGATAGCGCATAACAATGCATAACAATGCATCTATTCTCGAATGTCACTACATACATACACTAAGAAAAGTAGTTCTACGAGTAGTTAAACGAGTACGATTGAAAAATAATGTTTGGATGGTAAATTGCAGAACTAATATGTGTCTGTCGGAAGAAAATAGTTCTTCCGGTACACCGCCACCATTGCCACCGAAACGGAGAACGAGAGGTCAACAGTTGCTCGATGAATCCGAAGGTTTTTTAGCGTCTAGTCTCGATGGTGTTTCCCTACGAAGTCGATCTCCGGAGGATTCGTCGTCTCTTTTGAGCGCGTCGGCTGGCAGTTTGGATTCGGCCTTGAACCATTCCCGTGACGAAGATGAAATACGGGCGATCATGGGACCAAACGACGAGTCTCTGAACGACAGTATGGATCTCAGCCTGATGGCTACTATCCAAGGTAACCGGTCCATCCTTTTATCGTATCATAGCATCCATTATTTAATCATGGCCAGTAAGAATGTGATAAACGATATATCTTGCATAACCTCGGTAATACCGACTCGGTATCGAGTCAGTTTCAAGCATATTTAAAAAAAGAAAGTAATAAAGAGAAGCACGCGTAAACAAAATTATCATTTATATAAATAATATGTTTATATTATAGATTAACTTATATGACGTATAATACGACTATAATACGATATTAGGATATTTCTTTGTAACGTACATTGTTTGCATTTTGTAATATAATTGTCTTCTGTCTTCTTTTCGATACATCTGTATTCAGTTATTAGTGTTAGACATTATGTTACTTAAATTGATACGATGAAATACCTTTTACACAAGTGAATGGCAACCGCAATGGAACCAAATGGAACCAAATGGAATAGGGATCTATGGCGGCACGTTTTCTCATCAAACTGGAATTAACAGTAAAGTAAATATATTAACAGTAAAGTATTCTACAGTTCCTGTATATCGTTTTAGTACACGCGGGTTGCACATAGTACGTCGGAATGTGATGTAATCTTGAACTCAAGCGTATTAGGAGTTTCAAATTTAAAGAGGAATCGTATAAAGCACAGTTTCACGGTAGGAGGTTCGAGCGTTGTTCCTAGTTGTTCCTAGTAGTATTGGCTGTTCTGTTGGTTGTTCCCAAGAAATAAGAGTCCAAGTCGAAGGCGAATGTCGAAAAACTCTAAGGAGAATATCGTCGCAACATATCGAGTACCTACAGCGTAACCTAAAAATCGCTTTAGCTCGTAATTTCACCTTTATTCCCGGTTGCCATTCAATTAATGTCACTTATAAATTGCCAACATTTAATCATCTGCTTTAAGTTTAAGAGTCAACATTTTTCAAAACGAGGCAACCTCAGCGTAGCTCCGTTTGTCAACATTGAAATATCGTATTAGTCGTATTAGTTTGTTCTATGAACATTTATATCCGATTTATGACAACGAAATTAGAACCATCCTGAAATGGTAGCGGTAGAACTATACCAGTACATCTCCATTTGTGTCGAAAGGTTCACTATGCGGACAATGCTTAGTCAGCGAAGTGGTCTTCGACTGTGCTTGTCTCGATCGTCGAATCAGTCTTACTGAAAATCTCTTAGGATACGTTGGGATACATATTTCGAAAATAATTAACTCTCTGATAAATAAGATTATGTGGTGTAACGATAGAAAAAAGTCATATTTAATTATATACATACATGCGTAAAAGTTTCATTTTTATCGATTGAATCAATCTTTTTCCAAACATTATGCAGACGATATAGAGAGAAAGTAAACATATTGATTATTTTTTTACATTTATAGGTATGCAAGTTAATGGTAGTTCAAACTGTAGTTGCTGGGACGGTTCCGAAACAAACATACCAAGTACAATGTTATTGGGTCAACAAACTCCGCAAGAAATGCTTAATCCATTTACCGGTGGGTAATACAAAATCGTTTTATATTTGTCGCCAACGCCGTCAAGCTGAAGTAAAGGCGGTGCCGATGACGTTGCACATTTATAAATGTAAAGAAAAAATGTACAAGAGCTAAAATTATGCAAGAATTCCTCGAATAGCTCGAATAGCTAGAGCGAAGCAGGTAACGTAGGTGTCAGACCTTTAGACTACATGACTAAACAGTATAGTATAGATCTTCGTTCCGATCAGTCTGATAGGTTGGTATTCTTTTTCTCGATTCGTTTTCTAAATCTAGATTATCTAAATTAAATTTACCTTCGTAAAATAGTGCCTGCTGACAGGAATTGGGAAGCGTTGCAAAGTAGTCTTTTTGTAAGAAAGTTGAAGAACAGGCAAGTAAACATTTTTAAGGTGTTATAACGAACCATATGGCGATTATGTTGCAGGTATAGAAGGAAAAATGGAACGATTATCGACTCAAACGCAGGAATCCGGTTTCGTATCCATGCATTCGCAACGAAGTTCGTCTCAAAGTTATACTACCTCCAGTATAACGTCCAAAAGATCTTCTCAGCAAAGCAGTATTAGTTACAATTCCCAAACGTTTAATTCGCAACAATCGTTTTCCCAAACAAAACTGTCTTCGGATAATAACGGGTCTATTTTCACTCAGAAGACAATGACTAGTACGAAGAGTACCGTTAGTACAACAAACATTTCCGGAACTGGAGATCCTGCTGTATTAGAAAAATTGGTAAATGTGGGTGTTGTGTGTCGTGATTTTATTTCTTCTTACTTATAAATCTCTTACTTATAATTATAATTACTAAAAAACAGTTTAAACAATTTTCAAATCGAAATATAACATAGAAATCAAACTGTTTTTTTCGCTGACTATTTGCAGAAATTCTATATGTACTTGTAATTCTATCATGACCATGCAATAATTTCGATCGTCGATGCATCGTAGATTAAAAATTTGCAAACATCAACATGTATGTTCTTATTAAACGTGAGTTTCCGCGTTTCGTAGGAAATGGAGTCGATTTCTGCATCGGACGCTAACGGTGTGCCCCCAGCGTTGCCGGAAAAACGATCGAAACGGAGGAAAGAACGTCAACCGTCACAGTACGACAATGTACCTGAAAATGAGCATTTATCAACCTGTAGTTTACATACCAATAACGGCGATAATACAGATACCAGTAAACCCCCTCCACTGCCGCTTAAGAAAAGGCATAGTAAGTCGAATTATTGTTTACAAAAAACAACAGTAATACAGCAGATAATATTTAACACCATACTACGATTGCTTTATTGCTGTTGAAAAAATTCAAATACAGTATCAATGATAATGGATATGTATTAAAAATGAAGTTGCCTGAATTTGAAGAGAATAATTATTAAACAAAATTATGTTAGAGATTATCTAGATTATATTAGAGTAGTCGTTCAGAATCTTTTCCACGTAGTAGGTTAAAACTGATACAATATTTTGTATCCCCCAGTGTTCCAATCAGTGGCATATTCTGGTAAGTGGGATCCTGCCCACGCAAATCAGCTATCCCTCAGCAAACACACGTTCACGCTAAGTTGAAACCCGTCGTTTCACGCATTAATTATACACGACTTTTAATATCTTAGCTTTTTGCGGCATGTTTTCGTCGTTATTTTTCATTTCATTTTGTCGAGATCATCAACGCGATTTCATTTGACTAAGCTTGGATATGTCACTCATATTTTTGGGCTTTTTCATGGCTTATATCTTAATATATATAATTGAAATAATGAAATAATACTAAAAACACATAGAGTAATGTGTGTGTATATATATATATTTTTTTTTTCTTCTTCTTACATACAAATCATTAAACTTTTAGATTTCATTACATTCTATCCACACTCATCTTTTCCTTTCATTAGCTAAATTATTTTGTCAAATCAAACTCTATATATTTATTTGATTTGAATTTGTTACACATTGTACTTTATAAATATATTATTTCCATTGACGTTTCTGTATAATAGCTCTAAATTTCATTAACCGTAGAAACTAATCTTCAACCACCTATGTGGGCGTCGTCATTGTTTCATTAATTAAATTGACCTTTTCTTGCTAATAGTCAGTTAACACTTACGCTTCTTTAACTCTAGAATTAAGACAGCCGACTTTAGTTTTCGTTTCCACAATCGACTAGAGGATATATCTCCAACGATCCGAAATTTCCTCGATCTACACGATATTTGTTCATGCTTGCATCATCGTGATGATATTTATCCCAATTTTAAGTAACCGTTTAATCGCGAAGAATGTAGTCTTAATCGCGGTAAGAATGTCGTTTAACGGATTTCACTCTTATTCCAGTGAGTTTATAATAATCTGGTATTCGCTACATTACATATATGTCATTATCTATCGAGATACATGCTTGTGCATCAGTGTTTTTCTGTATTTTATACACTTGTGCTTTGATATTTTATTGTAACATGAATCACGCTTGTATGTACCATATATATACACATGTGTGATAAAAATAGAAACAATATACATACATGTATATACATATGTATGTATATATATAAATATATATATGGAATCGTATTTTTTTATTTATTTATTTTTCTTAAGTATAGCATATTGTCTGGTAGATTAGAATCGTATCAATTGAATCGTATCTATTCCAGTTATGGCATACATGGAGATGTTTGGGAATTGTTCTCACAGCAACAACGATTTCATCTCTGGTCTTGGGACCCGTCATTCAGTGGCAGCTTATAATTCGATGCAAGCGGAATGGCAACAACACGAAATGGCTCTTACTACGACACAATCGTGCTCTTTCATGGCGCATACTATAACTACATTACATGACAACTCAAAGTATGCGTTTCTAGATATACAAATTTATACATATCTTCCCGTGTTTAATATAAAAAATACAAGAAAGCGTGTTATATCTTTTTCAGTACCTCCATAACTATGGCACCATCAGTAGCGGAAGTAACGAATAATTCTAGTCTCCCACCAGCATTACCACCAAAGAGATCCCGTTCCATTAAATCAAATGCAACGCCACCGCCAATTTCGCCAAAACCCACCATTAGTATGCAAAGTATACATACAATCGAACCAATCGTAACGTCAACACCAATGAAAGTAGAGGAATCTGGTTGTATTCATGATAAAAAGGAGTTATCACCTTTGTCTCCAGCGAAGTTGGTAAATATTTCATAAAGTAACGTAGATTAACGTAGATTTGTATTACCTAGACACATCATTACTAATACACGCTACATTCTAGAATAACGTTGCTTTGGACACTATATTACCGTCCTCAAGACCTGCGAGTAATGCCTTATCGTCGATTTCCGTCGATGATAATAACTTGGACTTGAGAGACGTCGATCAGGACGATACTATTTTGGATGAACTCGATATCAGCAAGTATTTAGTCTTCAAGAAACCAGACGAAGAAGGGCCAGATATAAGGGGTGGTCACCCGGATGCATTGTTAATTCATGCAACCAAAGCTAATAAACATGGTAAGTTTTCTATTCGAGCGTTATAATACGTATCGTAATACGTATTGACAAATGAGTAGTCGTTGAAGGATATAATGCATTTCGTATTCTTTCATGCTTCATAGACGAGAAAGAATCAGGTCAGTGTAATAATTTGTTGGATTTACTTTCAATTCTGCTGTAACTTAACATTTCAACATATAAAATTGCTTTTCCTCGCCCAAAAAATAAATACTTTTATTATGCATAGGAAAATTTCTGCGAAACGCAATTAAAATAAACATTTACCATACCAATTAATTACCGCGTGCTTATTTTATTTACAGACTTTTTGTATCAAGAGGCGTTTCTAACAACATATAGAACATTCATGCAACCATTGGAGTTAATTCAAAAATTACACAAACGTCATCAGCGATTCTCTTGTTCTGCTGACGTTATTAAACAAAGAGCAGCTCGTGAAGCATTTTCCTTGTTGGTCAGAGTTGTCAGCGATTTAACGTAAGTTTACTAGAAAATTAACTAGAAATTAAAAAATTTTTTCTAAATATATCGCAAATAATTCAATGTAACTATAAAGAGGTTATCAATTTCTTCCAGCATGTCGGATCTCGATGATACCCTCTTGCAAACTCTAATGGAATTTGTACAGCAATTGGTATGTAGCGGTGATCTTACTATGGCAAAAGCTTTGCGTGTTAAAATTTTGGAAAAACACGCGGCGAAGCAGTTGCAATCTACACAACCGATTCTATCTTCGTTGAGTGTGACAACAAAGCAAGCTTCCCTTCTCGATTTCAAGAGTGAACAAATTGCAGAACAAATGACATTGTTAGATGCTGATTTATTCATGAAGATTGAAATTCCGGAAGTACTAATTTGGGCTCAAGAACAGAATGAAGAACGAAGTCCGAATCTAACTAGATTCACAGAACACTTTAACAAAATGTCGTACTGGGCTAGATCGAGAATACTGGAACATAGATTAGAGAATGAAGCGAAAGATAGAGAGAAATACGTTGTTAAATTTATCAAGATAATGAAGCACCTTAGAAAAATAAATAATTTTAATAGCTACTTAGCCTTGCTTTCTGCGTTGGATAGCGCTCCGATTAGAAGGCTCGAATGGCAGAAACATATTACAGAAGGTTTAAAAGAATATTGCGCTCTTATTGATAGTTCCAGTAGTTTCAGAGCTTACAGGCAAGCTCTGGCAGAAACACAACCGCCATGCATTCCGTACATGTAAGTACCTTTAATCTTTTTATTTCAATAATTGAAAGGCAAAGTTTTCGTCGAAGCAAAGTTCATCGAAGAGCTAACAAATATTCGAAGCTAACAAATATTTTTCACTTACAGCGGACTTGTGTTACAAGATCTTACATTCGTGCATATTGGAAACAATGATTTATTACCGGATGGTACGATAAATTTTTCGAAAAGATGGCAACAGTTTAATATCGTTGAAAACATGAAAAGGTTTAAAAAAGGGTAAGCTCGCTCGTTTAATAATTTTTTTTAAAATAACGAATATATATTTCAATGTTATTTCTAAATTGAATTGTTTATTTATTTATTGCAGAACATATTCGTTCAAGAAACACGAACGTATAATAACGTTCTTCAATAATTTTAGCGATTTCCTCTGTGAGGAAGCAATGTGGCAGATTTCCGAGAGTATCAAGCCGCGCGGTGGAAAAAAAACACAGTCACAGAACTAGAATATATCAAACCCTTTCACCGCCTGCGTCTCAAAATCGAAAGGCTGAATCAGTAAATTAGAATGTCTGTAATTGTGATGTTTAGGTAAATTTACCTAATTACGAGCTGAATAAAAATGATGCAACGCTTTAAGGACGGTGAAAGGGTTAGCTATGTCTGTTCCGCTTCAACAACCTCTGTGAGGTTGTATCTCATTTTATGGAATATTCAGTCTCTATTGAAAAGTAAAACAGAAAAAAGAATGCGTATAGTCAGTCATTTAGATCAAATTGAGATTTGATGCGTGCGTGCGTGTATGTGTGTGTATGTTTGTTTGTTTGTTTGTTTGTTCTTGTTTTGTTTAAAAATATGAATTGCGTGCACGGATATCGATTGAATCGAAATACGTATAGAGAGACTTTAATGAATTGGCTAGATCAATCATGTCTCAATGTATTTTTGCAATTTTTTCCTTTTTGCTATAAGCTTAGTAAGGGAGAAAATCATGTTTACTATGGATCTATGCAATGTATACTTAAACGATACACAGCTGTAATGATGCTTAACATGGCATGATGGAAAGAGCAATCTCCTCTCTCTATCTCTCCCCTCCTCTCTCTCCCTCCCTCTCCCCTCTCCACTCTCCCGCACACACGCATGCACTAGCTCTTCTATAGAAATATATATATATATAAATATAAATATAAATATATATATATAAATATATATATATATATATATATATAATATATTATATTATATATATAAGCTATTTATTTATTTGCTTTATATCGGCGAATAGCGATATGTAAAAAGTAGTAAATGTCATACATTTTTTTTTAAACTTATTTAGATATATATGTAAACGTCCATCATATAGATCTGTTATAGATAGGCAAACTTATCAAGCGTCGACAGAGATACATTTGTTGACTTCGCAAGGAAAAAACACCAATTACGTTGATTAATGTAAAACAATTATAGTCTCAGATCAGTGCAGAAATGATGCGCTTTTTCGAACACGTGGCACGACTGAGCGTAACTGTTACATATACTATTGTATATGATTCTAGGAAACATTTTTTGTTGGAAACTCGTTAATAGATATCCAAGATTTCAGCTTTAAGACAAATGGTTATCTAAAAGTGCGTAGATAAATTAAGTGTAAAAGAAGCCCACGATTAGACGAATTGGATTGAGATATCATTCACATTGCCCTTGTACTTTCGCCGATAATTCTAAATACCTTTGATATCTTTTATTATCAGATTCCATTACTAGTTTCCCTGCGTTTATATTTTTCAGCTAATTGCTAATGAGAGTTTCCCTCAGGATACATTCCGATGGAGTAAAAGAAAATTATTCGATCAATTTTATCAAGATAGAAGAAACATACTACTGGGTCCTACAATTTTCTTATTCTTTGTTAAACGCGTCGAATTTTAATACGTTCATCGAGTTTATTTGATTTCTTAAGATAAATGATACCACTGTAATGATTTATGGCTGTCTGCGTGCCTCATATTATAGAGTGAATGAATTACGTCTATTAACGTTTCTCCGGTCTCATGTTTAATAATATAAATATCTTGTATGCATAATTCATGAACAAAACCAGAATAATCGGGCTTGAGAGATCTGAAAAAGAAAAAAAGAAAGAAAGAGGAGAGATGTCACCAGTACGTTAACGCGATATACGTACGATAGTACTGATCGTACACTTTTATCCACGTTAAAAAGAGGGCCTAAGCAATTGATGAGTAGCATCGGTTTATAAACAGACACATGCCGTTAATTAAAATTTACCGATATAGAACACCGAGGAAGTAAAAGGTAAACAAGCCATAATTTAGTCTCAAGGTCTAGTTAGAGGTTAACTATTGTATACATACTTATATAAATTTGATAAACGGTTGTCAATTTCTAACACGTGCATCAAACACACGCACACACACGCGCGCGCGCGCTTGCACACACACACGCACACACACACAAATTATATACATACAAACATACGTCGTACACACGTAATATAGTTTTCAATTGAACTGTAAAGGAAGAATAATAGACGTAAAAGACTCTGTTTCCATAAAAATAGATGCATCCCGTTTATCGCAGCTGTAAACATTTTGAAAGACGCAAACAAGGACAAAGGTTAGTACTGGTTATGAACTTTTAGACAAGCATATATCCCCCTATAAGCCAATAGTTCACAAATAACGATAATCATACGTGATTGAGTATGCAAGTGTGTTTGAAGACAACCACTTTTATTTAATAAGTTGGTACGTATAAAAATGGTTCGTCTAATGTAAAGCTAAGAAAATGTTATTAACATTGTATGTAAATAGTTTGTGATTGTATTCATAATTTCTTGTATGTATGCGAGTGCCCATTTATAACTCATACAAATGCGCGCGCGCTCAGCATATTATCTTTATATTATCTTTACGCACGATGTAATTAATCTTATATACTTTTTAAATTATGATCGAAGTCATTGTGATGCCATTTTACATTCTCACATACATAATAGCGGGCACATTATCTGTATATTTTTTTCATTTCAGTTAGTTTAAGCCACGCAACGAACAGATATACATAAATTCTTCATAACAGAAGAAATAAATTAAAAAAAGTTACTACAGTGGATTCCGCTTATTTGAGCCACCGGTTAACCAAGGTAGCCGTTTATTTGAAACGAAACTGAAAGTATAGAACCTGACCGAATAAATAAAAACCATTTGTAGATAGTCCTAATTTTCTTCGCATAATTTCATTAATTGAAGCAGCAGCGTGTTTGGTTTTTTTTAGGACAGATGACTGCAGTAGTCTATGAGAAAGAGAAGATAGCAAGCGGGACGGCGCGACATAGGGGCAAATAAGACTACCATTTCCTTTCTTTTCCTCATCGTCACGTGGCTATATCTTATTTGTAACGTAATATTTTCGATCAGAACGATTGCTTATCTGTATGATTGCATTCGGTGTATTAGATGTAACCAATTAGATCCGCCAATTAGATTCCTTTGCCTTATTATCTTTTTACAGACGCGTTACTTATGTATCGCATTTCTCTTTCGTTTCCGCTCGCTGTAACTTTGTCTTCTGAAAATATTCTCATCATTTTTTGTTATCTTAACTATCTACGTAATTCTGTATTGACCTATACTTGGACTGATACTTGGCATAATTGAGACATCCGTTTAACCGAGCTAACGCTAGTACCGATGTGTCCTGAATAACCGAAATCCACTGTATTTGTAACTTAAAATTTTATTCGCAGAACACTAAGACAAGATATTAGAGATCGACTTGTGATACTTATCCATTTACATGCCATAAAAAGTGAAAGTAAATGTATATAAATACACGTACATATATCTTTAATAACAAAGCCAAATTTATCGATTTTTATTTATATTATAAAATAAACTATAATTTTTTTGATGTAACGAGGAATTTGTGTATGCTGCATAATTTTACATTGCATAATTTTAAGGTGTCTGGTGTCATGTTCAACATTGATTTTCTTTGTAGTTTTCTTTTATACGTAGAATCATTGCCATTCTCTCTCCCCCCCCCCCCCCCCCCCC